CGGCACAAAAATGCTCGGTTTGAGTCTTACCAGTCCCCGCCTACACTACGGAACGTCAAGTAATGCTTTCCGAGCGGCAGAACCACGCATAATGACATCAACTAACAGCGTCGTCCTGGAGTCTGCACAACATGCCTTGTCCTCTCAGAGCTAGATCGGCTGCAGGCAGTCCGTTGGGCACATTGAAGGATGTGCATCACCTTGGGCCAATGGCCCGCGGTGGAGCAGGCATTCATCACGGTGCTGTAGGCCTCAAAATTCCATAGTGTCGAAAATGGAACCCACAACACTAAACACATGGCCGTGCATCGGCTGGACAAAGACGGATTGGACAAGGCACAGGCATGTTTGCAAAGAGCGCGGCCAGCTGCAATCTGCACAGAAGGTCAACGGAGTCTAACCATCTGTCACATCTTTCGCAAGCCTTGGGCTGAGGTAAAGTGCATTTAGCTTTTCGGCGATGCGGTCTAAATCTAGAAGAGTTGCTCCGGCAGCAGCAGTATACGCCACAGTGCTTGTTTGCAGCATGGCTCGATGCAGTGTCCGCAACATTGCCAGACCTGATGGCAATACAGTATCCGCGGCTCATCCTTATGAACGTAACATGCACGTGTAGGTAACGTATTTAAGGCGAAGACCTCCTGCCCACTGTCCGCTTTGCTCGAAAGCGGAGATGCAGGCACAGTGTGAGATAATATCACCAGACACAAGCCACAGCCTCAACTGTGTCGAGCGCGCATAAACAGTCGACGTACCAAACCTCCCGAGAAATCCCACCTACGCGGTGCGACTCGAAAGCTGGATACACACTGAAACCACCACTGCTGTCAAGCAGCGACATCTCTAATAACAGGTTTGCGGCATGCTGCCATCGTCCAGCTCGGCAAAAAGCGGTCATAAGAGCATTGCAAGTCAGCGCATCCAGCTCCAGAGAAACCTCTAGAAATTCCTTGGCTGCTGCGCTCAGCAATTGCGAAAGTCAGCCCAGAAGGCCAGAAAGGATGAGCATGGTTGTCGAAATTTGCGGTGGAAGCAGAAGAAGCGCGCTTTGTCAAAAAGAGACCCACAAGATCACAAACAACCATTGATTCATGTTGAGGATCTGTTCGCTTCAGTCCGTACTGGCCAGCGGCAGACTCCCAAGTTACAACTTCCCCGAATTCGAGCTCCCTAGGTCGCACCGATGAGAACGTCACGAGAAGAACCCCTGCTTTGTTAAGACCGGGGTACGTAGAACAAGATGACGGCCCTCTGCCATTGGTGGCCCGAACCACAGGTGCTGATGAGAGTGTTGTAGCAAACACTTGTGGCCTGACAGCGAACAGTATCATTTCTGCATACACTCAAAGACCAATGCAGAATATCCTGACCTGGAGTTGGTCATCCGTCATCGCTGCGAAAAGGCATAATGCCTTTTGCCACAGAGCTGCTTTCTCCTGAATTAACAGACTTTGCGATCCTTCATGATCCTTCTGTCGACCACTTCCCTCAGAGCGAGAGAGGTGTTTTTCACACGACCTTGCTTGCCAGGCATCGCAGGCACTCATCACAGAGCAATATGAGATAACATCCGGAAAGAGACTCATCTTGGATCCTTCCTCGGCCGACCATTGAACGGCCTGTTAATCTTCCTTTCCTACGGAACAGAAACGGAGATGCTGAAATTTTCGTGATGCAACCCAAGATTCCAACAGTATGCACAGGGTCCGCTGCCAGTGCCTGCCGTGACTCACCGACCACGGCTACAATGCTACATCAACGGTGGCTCCTGCAGATGGCGATGGCTGTGTTGCAGGTGACCTCAGTTCAGCTGCAACTTACTTCTGGTCCAAGTGCCGATTTACTCCGATCAGCAGCAACTGCCTGCACAGGTACTTCCTGGACATGCAGGGAAAAGCGCACAGCATGCCAATCATCGTCTGGCGACACGAGTTGGTTGGATATGAGCTTGTCGTAGCCTGCAGTTCCATCAAACTTCGAAATATTTGCGCATGTCCGCCCAATCTCACTTTTGGCTGTCTGTGCATGCAGAGCGCACTCGGTTAGATACGACAAGGCCTCGCATACGAGTCCACCGCCAGCTGCCAGCAGTTGGCAGATCCGGAGGAACTCATCATTGCATTGTACCTAAGAAGCTTGTGCCCGAGGCTGCCTCTGGCTTCGATGGTTGGCTGGCTTTGCTTGGGTTTTGTTCGCTCGACGCATGGATTCAGAGCCGCTCACGAAAGAAACCGTTGTTGTTTGCTGACTCAGATTGGATTGCAGACCTATGTAGCGATGTCAGTCAATTGCTAAAGGTATGAAAAAGACAAGGACTATGCAAATCCAAAGCTGTCAAAACACTTGAACTGACCAAGCATGTGAACGTGCAGGAAACTCATATAGGAAACACCTACTGCGTTTGTTACCTGCACCTCCCAAGCTTGTTGCAGGCTATCCCACAGCATCACAGGCGATCAGCAGAAGTTCCCGGATCACAAGGGTGTGGGGGCTGCCAAGATGCGAGATGGCATCAGCTTGAAGTCGTCGCTCCAAACGATTGAGGCATGCCGCAGCTTGTTCCTCAGCCAGGGAGTGATCACTACGATCTGTCTCCAAGTCCCAGCTCTGATGGTGAACCGATGGGATGGAGCCACGTGCGGACGTGAAGATGGGTCTGTGGTTCAAGGTGCCTCGCCGCCTCTGATGGAGCCAGCTGATCACGGGAAGGGTGCTAGGGGCTACCTCTTGTTAATCACAACCTTGCGCGCAGATTCTGCGCACAACACCTGCCGTTCTTGAGGGCTTCTCTACACCACCGTGTTAGCGGCAATCTGTGTCCACCCAGAGGCGGTCGACACAGAAGGCCGCAATCCTCGAACGTGGTTTTCTCAAAACAGCTTTTCATTCTGATGATCTTGCAGTTTTCAAGGGTCGCTGGTTTTTGCATCTGGCATTTGGCGGTGGGTCTCCCACTCTACCAGAATGTCTTTCGGTTATGACTGGCTTCACGCAGCTTCTTTGATGCCGCACTTCCTGCTACTGACTTCACACCACATACTAATTTCGCCGTTCACCCAGACCGTCAAGCAACGACTTCCTGCTTTCCCGAAAAGTGGGAGCTTCGTTTCCACGTTGCAAGCCCTGCAACTCTGTCAAACTTGCGAGTTCAGACTGCCGGCGACATCCTCGTATGATCTCGCATGATGATCTTTCTTCGCTGTCTTCATCCAACTCCTTCGGTCAGGTGTTCCCGAACCATGCCACGGGCGATGAGAACCAGCAGAACCCATTGAAGTCTTGCCCTTCTGTCAATGCCGTCTCACTAACCAAGAAGTAGAAAGGCTGAAAATTTTGAGGAGCAAGCCGCCTGGCTGATGCACTCCCCAGCACTGCACTGGTGCAACCCGCTTCCACATCGTAAGAAAGAGCGGGGAGAGGAGACAAAGCTGCAAAAACACAGCTAATGCGAAATGGCACCGGGATTAGCCGATGCAGCAGAAACACTGCATAGCTGAAGCTCGCATCCGTGCATTGCTTGCAACCGCTGCAATCAGAAACTGCACATCCACCGAAGCCCTCCAAATCTGGGAGTGTGAGCCATGGGCATCCATTGGTCTGCTTTTTGCAGAGGCACGCGCAGCAGACGAAGGACTTGACATCCATTGCAAACTCGTAGTAGCGACAGCGATGGTCTCCGACGTCGCCGCTATCGATTTCGTAATCGTCGTCGTCGTTCTCGTCGTCTTCGTCGACGTAGCTGTAGCAGCAAAAGGTGTGAAAGTAGTCGTTGAAATCGTTGTAGCAGTGGTCGCAGAAGTAGCGTGAGGTGGCTTCTGGCAATAGCGAGGGCTGCAATAGCAGCTGCAGGGGGAGTAGTAGTAGTAGTAGTAGTAGTAGTAGTAGTAGTAGTAGTAGTAGTAGTAGTAGTAGTTGGTGTTATTGTTGTTGTCGCAGTAATAGCAGCATTATCGCCAGTACGAGTAGCAGCAGCAGTAGCAGTAGTAGCAGTAGTGGAAATAGACATACAAGTAATAACAGTAGTAACAGTAGTTGTTGTTGCAGCAGCATCTGCAGCAGTAGCCGTAGCTGTAGCAGTAGTTGTTCTGGTGGTAGTCGTCGTCGACGTCGTCGTCGTGATTTCAGTGGTGGTTTCGGCAGTAGTGGCCGTCGTCGTCGTCATTGTCGGTGTTAGGAAGAAGGAAACATTGCGCAGTGCTGAAGCGTCTGCTATCGACTTCTGATCAACAACATTCAGCTGAGCTTCCCAGTGGCCGGACTTGTCACAGGTACTGATGAAGGTGTTGAATGAAATCAGGCTTGCTTGAATAGAACGACAGCGAAGCTTGCTGAATATGGACGAGCTCAGCTTCCACTGCCTCAGTTGGTGCATAGCCACATGCATGCTGCCCTAAGACAAACAGATATCGAAACCACCTTGCTCCTTGCTAAGAAAATTAAGCCACATGGCTCTCCAGTATCACAGCCACTGACGAGCGCATTGTGCAGAATGACATCAGCCTCCAAACTGCGATCCTGCAAGTCCTGCAGCCCAGGCCGAGGGAGGCAGACAATAATCATTCAATACTCTCTTGATGTTGGGGTTTGGGGTCTCAGTCCTCGAACAGCTGCAGTGCCTTTGGCCACTGCTCCAAGGCAGAGATTGTTGCAGTGTAGACCACGGCGTTGACCTACCAAGTACACAGCGCTTTGGCTGGCCCGTGTTGGGCTCTTGGTTTTGCACTCTTTGATGTAATGGCAGCGGCACTAGGAGTCCGCCCCCTCGGCCTCCAAACTCTGGTGCGAAGTGGATACGAAAAGATCAAGAGCATCGTGCCAGAGTTGGGACCGCCGGCAGGCTTGAATGGCCTGAACATGCCTCGGCTGTCGATAAGTCTACATGTTCTCCGACCAAGTGGCCTCGACAGGGTCTAGGGCAACGACGCAACCCCATCAAACTAAACCCTACGCCTGAGACCCAAAATTATGTCAGGGAGCTCTCTCAATGCGCTGGCGCTCGATGCAAATCGGTGATCCTTCCCCGCATGCCAAACAAAGCCCAGCATTGGATACTTGGGCAGCTTGGGCATGTACTTTTAGGTCTTTCCCCACTCCGACTGATGCCCTGCAGCATTCCCTGAAACTGAGGTCGTTGGATCCCCCAGCACCAGGAGCCTGCGATGTCTGAACGAATGCGCTCAGATGCATCCATGGGCCGGCCCATGATCACACTCTTGACATCATCGGTGCGAAGCAATTCGTGGAACACTAGTTGGAAAGTAGTCGGTCTAGTGCTTGGTACTGCTTATGTGACGGCGGAAATGGATCCTACTTTCGGAAATGGGCCCTACTTTCATTACCTGCAGGCATCTCCGGCCAGCGGCGACAAGCATCATGGATCAAGGCCCATGTCTCGCAACTTGCGATCCGCACATGGGAGAGATGTTCATAAGTTTGACTGCAAAGCAATTTTTTCTGGCAAGCTGGTGGTAATGTCGGCGCTCATCCTGCACTGTGCCAGAAGGCTTAGGGCTGTCTCGGAGCTCATTGCAGCTCACGGAATACGCGTCTCAGAGAGAAGAATGTTGCTGCAAGGCCGCCAGCTCCTTCTGACCAGCCTGTCAGACCAGCGAAATCTGTCGCAGCCCGCTTCGGAATGACTCGAAATGTATGAAGGCCCTCCAACCCTCAGTCGCCGTGAAGCTCAATGAAGTTATGGACGCCCACACTATCATGGTTGTTCAACGCCATCTTTAGAAGTGACCGGGCTGTTGACAGAAGGATACACTGTCGCATGCAACAATCCATTCCGCTGGCCTCGGGCTTTTCCAGCAGAAGCTGCCTTGGCTCGCAGTAAGCAAGCGCCGCAGCGGCAATGTTGCAAGCTATGATGAGTTCTGTGGACCTCTCTGATACCGCAGTGGTGTAGAAGACATATTTGCATATATTTGCAGACAAGTCACGACAGCTTTTTCAAAAAAAGTCCTGCATCATGGAGGTGCTTGTCCAATGTCTGCTTGGTGACCTCGAAACAGCTCCGTCCAGATTGTTCCGACTGTGCTGCTCGATATGCAGTCTTTCTCTCTCTTCTAAACAGGCTTGATGAGTCAAACCTGCCGACGTGCTCTTTGTTGGGTGCCTTGCTTTCTCTCGCGCCGCCACGTGGCACGAATGTGCTGCTGGCTGCGGCGTGCCGGCTGTGCTCTGTGGCCAACATACACACATGCGCGTTGGGGCTCTCACCCGGCGCGAAGTCCTGTATGCCCTTCAAGAAAGTCCCAAGTGTGTAAGGTCGATGCCGTCAAGCGGTCCTCGGCTCTTCCAAGCCGTGCCTGTGCAAGAGTACCACACTTTGCAGAATACAAATAGCAGTTCAAGCGGCCTCGTAGGACTTCATGCTTGTAAGCGTCTGCTGCAAGACCTGCGGATACTGCATGAGATGCTTGGCCGCGACATCGCGCAGTTTCAGAGTCAATGCTGGCCTTCTGCTGCGCCTTGAGTGCCTTTCGACGCTTCACCTAGCAGATGTCGGTGCTACGACTGCGTGAATGTGACCAGTGGCAGCCCCAGCTCAGATCCACACGCCGTCTTGCAAGCTGGACAAGAAGAGCGATTTCAAGTGATTTGATGTCACCTCCACGTGGTCTCTGCTTTAGGATCACTCAGGAACGAAAAGCAAAGGGCTTTGAATCTGTCTGGGATGATACGCGGCAATCAGTCTCCGAAAAGATGATGCCTACATTACGAAGCAGAAACTGTAAACTCCGACCTCGCCCTGCTTTTTCATGTTCTTCACCCCGTCCGCGAGGACACCAAGCAGGTTCTCTGGCTCTCCAACATCCGCCTGCACAGGAGCTCCCACATGATACGTTCAGCAATCCAAGAAGAAAGGTGCTGCTTCTCGCTCTTACGTTCTGGCTGATGCTTCTGCTTACGTGCTGGCTGATGCTTCTGCTTACATGCTGGCTGATGCTTCTGCTTAATCCTATGCCTTCCATGGTAAAGAAGCTGCGTGCTAAGTGCTACGCTACTACTTAGGACCTCCTGCCTCCTTGTCCAGCGCAGCCGCATCATCAGGCTCCTCACCCGCGTAACGGATTGCCAATCGTCATGACTCGCAGGAGTGGCACCAGAGCATGCCACTGACAATTTCTGCCACAGGCTGCGATGGCAAGCCTCCTCCACCTGAAGGAAGGAGAGGTTGGGTTCCTGTCACGTAGGAACTCGTCTGCAAGGACTCTTGCAGGCAAAGCTGACAGAATCCACTTGTGAGATCTGCAAAAAATATTCATTTAGCAGGGGACGAGACGGTGATGAACTCTGCCTCTGCCTCGTCTTTCTTGGCTCGCTGCTCGGCGATGGCTATGGCCGAAGCAGCCTGCGGCGGGCGGCTTCAGAGCTCTCTGCGAGTCGCGTGCCGGCGGCCCTGATGCTCGTGGACAAAGAGGCGGCTACGTGTCCTACTGCGCGGGTCCTCAAAGCGAAGTCTCGTGACTTGTTTCGAAGCAACACGCTCTTGTGGCTCTACTTATCCAACTATTCTTCGGCCTTTTTTTTTCCTAGTGCAAGGCAACTGTCAGTTTGCCCATCAACCTCGGCAGTTTCAGGCTGTTGCTACCTAGCGAGGCCGCGCCAGAAGACGCTGCCATCTAACCCTATCTTGAGCTACAGGGTTCACTCGTCGAAAAATCAATGTATTGTCCATCCATGGTATATGTTGGGAACGATGAGCTTCTTTGACCGCTTTAATAGAAGGAGTTATCCAATATTGATTTCCAATGTCTGCTAATGGAGGGACCCCATCCGTATCTTGATGTCGTAACCGTATCTGCGCTTCGGTCATGGCCACCTCTGCCCAGTGGACTTGGGGCCGTCCGCGTCTGTTCTTACCCCGAACTGTTCTGTACGCCCTAGCTTGATTAAAAGTCGCTGTAAATTCATGTGAATCGGGATGCCGCAAGATGTGTCCCAACAGCTTCAACCTGCGAAACGAAACACTCTGCGACGGTGTTGGGACTGAGGCATACTGACTTGCCAATCGAGCAAGGTGTTCATTTGAGCAAGGAACATCTGATGGTTGAATAATCCGGTGGAAATACGACGACTTGACCTTTCAATATCCGTCGCATACTTTGAAAATGGACCGCATTCAATCTTCTGGTACTGGCCGGTGTCAGGGAACAGGACTCCATGGCATATGACAGTATGGATAATATGATGGATTTGTAAACAGTGAGCTTCCACTTTGTAGGGAGCCCGGCATGAGAAAAGAACGGTTTCAACAA